GGGTGCACTGCAGAGAGATAGCCTGACATAAGCTAGTGTTTGGGTGCACTGCAGAGAGACAGCCTGACATAAGCGAGTGTTTGGGTGCACTGCAGAGAGACAGCCTGACATAAGCTAGTGTTTGGGTGCACTGTAGAGAGACAGCCTGACATAAGCTAGTGTTTGGGTGCACTGCAGAGAGAGAGCTCACTGCCTACCCACTTTCTGCATTTTACACACTAATGAGTCACTGGGTTCACGATGCCCATTAGCTGATGATTCTGTCCACATTTCTATCAGACTGTGTGTGTGTGGTGGTGGGGGGGGGACTGATGGCCCGTCATGGTGCTGCGTCTACTGCCTTCAACCTCTTGATCTTGTCCCCAGTGGCTCTGTTTTTCCCACAGATTCCCCAGCTGCGGTTCCAGCTCCGGCTGAGAGGCCAGCTGACGTTTCCAGGGCAATTTTTCCAGGACGGCTCGCAGCCCCATATATGGCACCAGCTGCGGAGGCTTTCGGACCATTTAGAACCACCGAGGCGGCACTTTTCAAACTGAGGTGGAACCAGAATCACAAGTGATAAAATGCGAAAACCCCCATTAAGCTCTGAGGGCCAATAGAATCCATGTAGCCCAGTTATGCCTTACAAAAAATATTTCAAACTAATTACATTTCAGACTAATTAATTACATACTGTTGGATGGCCATTCAGGATGGCTGGCTTTCATGCAACATCCAAGATGTTTGATTTTGAAACTAATAGGAACCTGGAACAAGCATCGTGCCAACTAACGGAGGAGTAAAGTAGTCATGGTGAAACTTACAAACCCACAATCTACTAACACTCACTATAAAAAAAAATGTCTCATTAAATGCTGCCATTGTGATTTACGACCTTCAATAACAGCAGAAATTTGTTTGTGTTTAAGAGTTTAAACGGTAAGAGAAAGAAGCAGGCGGCCATATTTCTGCCAGTGTGCTTAGTGTGAAAAATGTTTTAGAAAAAGCTAAAAGAGAAAAGCCCATACATGAGAACAGAAGTGAAAGCGTGTCGTGTGTAATGGTGAAGCGTGTCGTGTGTAATGGTGAAGCATGCAGTGTGTAATGGTGAAGCGTGCCAGGATTCCCATTAATCTGCATCTACTCTTTCCATTAAAAATGTAAACATAATTTTTATGAAAATTGGCAGGATTTATGTTTTCAATTAAAGAGAGTTTTCAGAAATGTATTACAGTGGTCAATCAAGAGATTGTTGAACATAATGAGGTCTGAGTTTAGTGCAGAGCAGACCACTTCCTGAGACTAACTAATCACAAACTCTTAATTACTGCCCTGCAGGCCTGAGAGGCTCCAATAATTGGGCGTCGAGCAAAAAAGACGGAAAAAACAACTACAGGTCAGTTCCATCAGGCAGAAATCGAGCGGCTATTTTAAGGTAACTGGTAATGGTGCAGTTAGAGTTTAAAAAAGCCTGCCAATCACAGCAGACTGAGGGTGACGTGATTGGCTGCCCTGCCTCACAGGTTCCCCCTTGAGCCGCATGCTAGGAGGCCCACAGCTTCCAAAGAGCATCCAGCAGAACCCGTAAATCCCAGTGAGCGGCACGAAGAGATACTTCGCGACGAGAGCAAACTTAGCGCACACTGACCTTTGACCTGTGCACTTCCCCGTCGTCATCCTCTCCCCCGACTCCCAGGATCTTACGGGTCTTCAACCGACTGACCAAGTCAGTCTGACTGTGCTTCTTCATAAGGGGGGGGTGAGGTTTGGAAGCCATGGCTTGCAGGGAGCGACAGGGAGGGGGCGGAGGGCCCAGGTGTCTTGCTGCCTGCGGGAGAGAGAGAGACAGAGAGAGATTGTTGAAAACTTTCCCTAAAGCGCTGATATTATTCAGCAGAGATGGCTGTACCTCTGTGCCAGGGGTAGCTCCATTCACTGATACGGCTCATTACAAAGCTTCTGTGGAAAAAATAAATCCCTCCCTGCCACCCATTTACACCACTAACAGTCTACACCTAAACCCCCATTTACATCTCTATAGAAACTGTAAAATACCATCAACAAACATAGAGCGGTTACACCATTTAACATGTTAAAGTCCACGCTAACTAGTAAACTCAGCACTACATATCAAGTGACATTCAGAAAAAGATAAACAGCCTTATTTACATAATACTATGTCCAAGTGCCTCCAGAAAACCGTGAAACAGACATAAATTTGCCACGTTACAAATCTGCAGCTTTCTCATTGCAGTAGTTGCTCAGTTACCAAAATAGCAAATAAGGACAGTGAAGGGACCCTTTTTCTTACTGTGACACCTATTATTTCAGGTGCCAGATCACCTTCCTTTCATCACACAAGGCCCATACCTACCAGGTCTCGTAAATTACAGTGTTGATGGAACTGCCTGTTCCTCATAAAAGCATGGATTTCACGGTCAATGGCAGCGCAGAGCGGCATGGGGAAATTTAGAAGGTAGGGTTAGCTTTCCACTGGAGCCAAGCCTGCTGCTGCAATCCACCTCTGTTATTTCATGACCTCCCCCCCCCCAAACCAGAAATGGGTAGGGGGGTGGGATATTAAACATGAAACAAAGCACAGTCAGAGCTCATACATACTTCAAAGGGCTTGCGCTCTGCCATCACTGTGAAGAGACGGCTGTGGTTTGTAACACGGCTCATTCTGGATTTAGTCATCGATTTACAAACAGAGGAGAGACCAGGCATTAAGAGACGGTTTGTGTACCTCACAGGGCCATCGACGCCTTTCACTTTGGACTAAGGTTTGAAAAAACATTCATATTTCCATTCATGCCCTTTGACACACTGCCGACTGAATCTACATATAAAATTAAATATTGAAGTACATCGGTGTTTTCTCCATGAGCCTGTTGTCAGAGAGATGACTACCATTTGGGGCATATTCGGAGCTCTATAGAACACAACGCAACCATCGCTGAGCTTAGTGAGTCACCTGAAAACAGGCCTACATTATCACTTTCAGCAGAGGGAGGGAGGAACAGAGACGACACCCCCACCATTGCACCGTTTACCGTGAGACAATCCATTAAATTATACATTCATTAACAAGAATCACCAAGCACAGCATTTCAAAACCAATCCAAGGGACTTCAATCCAAGAGACAACCCATGGAGTTTGTACACAGTGCGTGCAAGCTCGGGGGAGGGGTGGTGACTGATATTAACAACCACCATTTGTTCATAGAGTACACTGAACCGGAGCATTTTTCTTGATTGCTGATATCTCAAGGGTTATGAGCCTTATAAAAGCAGGTCTTCAGTCCAAGAATAGACCATGAGAGCACTCAGCGAATGCTTATTTAATGCAGGTTGACTTGCACATCCATTGAGAATGACTCTCAGCTCACCAGTACTGGAAAACCCAACATTTAAAAAAAAAAAAAATTCTTAATGTAAACAGGCATGACATAGACAGCTGCATGGGTCCTTGGCCTTTCGCAAAATACAATAAAACGGTGACCCGCAAATGGCTATACCACACAGTAGAAGATGGCTGATGGCGCCGACGCCGAAGGAGAGTTCAGAGGGAGGTCACGCCGAGACACGTGGCTATAGACAAGAAAGGTCACAAGTTCTGCGGCCTGAAGGGACGCAGGGATGCCAGAAGAAATGTGTGAGCAGGGGGTGAACTTCCCCCACTGGGGTCACAGTTTCTGTTTAGGGTCAGAAAACGGTAGAAAACTGTGTAGGGCCTGGTGTCTCGAGACACACACATGCGCACACACACACACACACACACGGGCAGATGGTCACATCTACAAGACCTGCCACAGTTAACGACCCCATCGCACACCAGCTGCCATCAGCGAGATCACTTTGGCACCACCGTCCAAACATTTTAGTGGGATGGATAACATGTTAGCAGGCAGCTGGGTAAGATGGGGAGTCAAACAGCAGCTTACTAATGCAAACAGTGGACTTCAGAACAAAACACTGTGCCTGTGGACTGTCAAGTCACTACAGATCACTGGGTACAGGGTGACTGAGGAATGCCTTTACCAGTTTTTGTATATATAGTGGCGATTTAATATATCAATGACAAACACACATGCATACATATTTGCGCACAGTCACACACACACTCAGCGGGCAGTTTATAAGGTACACCTGCTTATTAAGACAAATTATGTGGCTCTACTCAACATATGCAGCACCCAGACAAGACCAAGAGGTTAAGTTACTGTTTGACTAACAGCAAAATGGGCAAGAAGCCTGGTCTAAGTGATTTTGAATGAGCCGTAATTGTTGGGGCCAAAATCTCAGAAACAGCCACAGTCCTGGGATTTCATATAACCCAGCATTTGGAGTTCACAGAGAATGGTGACACGAGCAAAAAACATCCAGTGAATGGCATCTCTATGGTCGAAAACTCCTTGTTAATGAAAGGGGTCAGAGGAGAATGCCTCAAAGCTAACAGGAAGTACAAAAATAACAGTTCAGTACAGCAGCCGTATGCAGAAAGGCTTCTCTAAATACAAAACTGACCTACCCCTGAAATGGTTCTGGAGGTAAAAATAGGTCAAATCCGATACTAGTCCATGTACCTATTAAACTGGCCACTGAGTCATATATAATATACGCACACCCACAGATGTATATATACATGCATGCACGCTACATACGCACCCTACATACACATGCTACACATCCGTAAAATAAATTAAGAGACCATGGCGCATTTTTTTGTTTCACTTATTTCTCAATTTATGGGTATGCGTCTGTGAATAATATATGTATTTTTTTTTTTGCAAAATGCAACCTGGCTCTTCCCTGTTTCTCATTAATGAAGGGCTTTTTCCTTTGTTTATGGGACTTCAGTCCTGCTTCTAGGACCTGATTCGAACTGTCCTAGCAGTGCACTTCACACCTGCGCTTAACATTTTCCATTCCTTTTGAAGGTCATTTGATGATATCCTCCGATTCATGATGTTCATCTGTCATTAGAAAGTTGCTTCTGCCCTCTGCCTGGCTGGTTTTTGGTTATCGCCAGTGTCTCCTGCTTCACCTTGTTCTTGTGTACTTTGAGCCTGGAAGCAGTCTGCCTCGTAGTGCAGCCTTCTGCCACCAGAACCAGGATTGAACCAGGATTTAAAAATGCAGATTTGTTGAGTGGTCTCTTAATTTTTCTCACGGTTGTACATGCATTTCATGCCCTTATAGCTCCTTACAAATAAAGCAAACAGAATGACTGGCTGCCAAACGGGGACTGAAGCATCAATACTGATGCAGTCTATTAAGCTGTACTGTAGGAAGCAGGTGGAAGTGAGCAAAGGTAGGGGAGTCATGAGAGTGGGAGGCTAAACCAGAGCCTAGCAGCTAGAAATTGGCAGCTTAAGGGTAGGGCAAAGGCTTAGGGAGACTTACATCACTCTGGGTTTCATGCTCACAACGCTATACTTTGAGTTTTTATAAGGAAACAAGAAAACAAGGCAACGTGCAAACAATTCTGTGAAATGGTGAGCAGATAGACAGACAGACAGACAGACAGACAGAGATAGATAGACAAATAGAGATAGATAGATAGAATACTGGGAAAGCATCCTGTAGTGTGAAAGTTTTTGGCAAGCATTTTAAACAACAAAGAACATTTTCTGTTTGAAATAGTATTTTGTCAATATTTTCATATTCTCATACTGATAATTTTATATTCTCATTATTTTCACTTTCCTCATGCATCCTACACAGCTGGATTAGGCTGAGCTGGCGCCCAGTTTGAGCGGTTCTCCATTTTTTTTCATCTTGTGACCCTGCAACAAAGATCCTATTATCAGCAGAATGTAGAAGCAGTGCATTATGGGTCACAGATTAGTACCAACCCAGTAATGAGCGCCAATGACCGATTCCTCTATCTATAAAAGTAAAAAAAAAAACAAAAGAGAAGACATTTAACCACCCAGATAATTCTGTGCAACCTTTAGAGTTGCAATAATTTTTTGAATAGTTGAGACACACCAAACTCTCCACTTGGACTAGATAAGTCATAAAGAGATTCAGATAAATGATTACTATTACTGATCCATTTTAACCAACATCCTTATTGTGAAGTGCTTGCAGGTGCAGCTGAAACAAACAGGCATGTTGTGCTTCAACCCTAATGCCAGGAAAACCACACAGTTATTTGAAATTCAGCTGCAAAAAGGAAGCCGTGACGTGCAACATATTTGAGATGAAAAGGTGCATTTTGCTGCTTCCCCTGGTGTTGTGACATAAGACATTGACCTTTCCAGATGACTTCTACATTTTCCAGCTAAAATAAAGCAATTTCCCAATGGAATACAGCACTTTAACAAGGGAAGGGAACTTGCTCCTATCATAAACAGACAAAGCAGAATCTTACCACATATCGCAGACTTTTTTGTTCATTACCAGTTTCTGGCATGGTTGCATTATCATGCAAGGGAAAAATAACACTAATTTAGAGCATAAAAACCACCACCATCTGACTCAAGGATTTCTTACATGACTGATAAAGATGTTAAAACCACAGCAGACAAATCTTGTCCTGGAAAGTGTAATAATTTTGCATTATAGGACCTTACAGTGGATCAAATTAGGCAACATATTAAATGCATCAGGATGTATCAGCACTGTCCTCATTCTGACAACAGTGGTTAAGTGCTTTGTCTTAAGAATGAACCTTAATGTTCGCTGCCTGCCAATGATGCTGAGGCAGTTGCCTAGCAACTTCAAATGAAGTTGTGTTTTTCTCATCCTTGAATGTATATACATACATATATACATATACATATATATACATATACATATATATATACATATACATATATA